AGTCAGGAGCAAGCCTTCTGTGGCACTGGCATTGGTGCTGAGGAGGGGCTGTGCCTCTTGGGCTTCGGGTGGGTCTCTGAGTTAAATTTCCTTAGGAAACAGCACAGCTCAGAGGCCTAAGTCACCACCTGCCTGGGGCCTTTCTGAACTAGAAAGCGAGTTCTCTCTCGAGATGTCGGTCCTCTGTGCTATGTTTACATGTTGGCAGCAGGGGCCAGGAGGACTCGGACATGTTGGTGCTTCATCCACCAGACGTTGCTGCAGAGCAGCTTCCCTGCAGACACCTCTGCTCCACCCTCCACACGGGAGTTAGGGGAGGTCTGACAGCCAGGCCACCACGGCCAGCAAACCAGGAGGGTCCCGGCCCACGGTGCAGGGACTGTGAGGCGGAGATGATGAACAGTGGAGATTTGGGACTAGTTGACCCTCATCTCCAGGCCAGGTGTGCTTTTCTTTCACTCTTATTCTTCTTCCCTCTGTCCTACCTTGTCTTTGGTGTTCTGGACCACTGCGAGGCTTACAAAGTACAGTGTACCCTTCAGTGTGTTGTGACAGCCCCACTCAGGTCCCCGGGGCTGCCTAGGCAGTTGTGGACCTTTAGGTTCCCACTGTAGCATCTGCTGTCCCCGTCACCTGGGCACCCACTGGGCAGTGGCTCCAGTTAGAGCTGGCATTCCGTTGAGGCCTCACCTAAGGGCTCCAAAACAGATCTGCTCCCAAGTGGCAGCTAAACAAGGCCCCCTGGGGTCTGGAGCTGAGGCCAGATGGCCCCTCTGCCTGCAGTATGCCCCACCTCAGGCTCGGACTCAGAGACCACTAAAGGAGAGTGTTCATTGATGTTCTTGCTTCTTAGGAATAAACAAAGGGGCCACCATCATACCGTGTCTTGTAGAGAATGTGCAGTCTCCGCCTTTTGACCCCAACACCTTCCAGTATTTTTAGTGACTCCTTAGTAATCAAATGAAAACTATTTCTGTGGTTAGCCCTGACCTTGTACATTGAAAACATGAAAAAAGCACGTTTTTGATGGTCAGAATCATCACGATAGAGTTAGATACCTTTGACCAATTTTAGATTTGGCTTTGGAGGCCGGTTTGTTAGTGCTGGGAAATAAATCCCTACCTTGGAACAAGTCTTTTCTAACCTAAACAGTTTTTCCAACAAATGATTCTTTCTGGCTACCCTTATTATCACATGTATACGTCTAAGCACATTTAGTTAATAAACACTGAGTCTCCTGCTATGTTAAAATCACAGGACTCTGAAATTGAAGGAATTTTAAATGTCATCCAAACTAGCTTTCTTCTTTACAGGTGAGGAACCAAAAACCCAGCTGGACTGAGTCCAAGGCTTCCACTTAAGTGTCTGACAAATATATTTGAATTGTGGCATAGGCCCTCGTAGACTTGGTTTTCCTATAGACCGAAACCTAAATGGTTAAAATATTTTTCAAGAAAATTTCTTGTAAGCAGATGAAAGAACCAGTAGGAATTCATATGTCTGAGCTGCCTGCAACCTATCATCTGTGGCAGAAAATTTATGTCTCCATATCACTGCCCAGGGACACACATGGGGGCTCCTGGTGCTACAGTCAGTACTCAGAGTGTAATGACCCTGTCACAATCTGAGTGGGATTTGATAAAGCCCAAAGAACCATACAGAGAGGAGGGGAAAAAAAAGATAAGAATTCTACAAAGGCATCGCTTTGTGCAGCCCTGCCAGGCCTGGCTGTGGCCAGGGAGCTGCCCCAACATTTTCTTCTGCAGGTCCTAGGGAGGTGGCCAGTCTGAGGTTAACAGGTACTCAGCTCTGGATCCTCTAGAGATACCTGGGATATGCTGATGAAGCCCTTGAATGAGCCTTCACTGACCTTCCTGCCTGTTGCCAGGCACTTCTGAAATTAAAATTACTTCTGCTTTACCCTTTGTTACTGTTAAAATACTCATCTACCTGGTGTTATGGAGCCAGTGGATTCTTACACGCTGATGCTGCCACAGTTGTTTTACAGTTAGATGAGAAGAGTATCATGGAGCCTCCAGAATGCCTGGCCCCTGTGGGTTGTTCCCAGGGCTGTAGGTGGAGGGAGACGGAGAAACCCAGCACACTTCACAGAGAATTTGGGCAAATAGGTTCTGGGTCTGTTGTTTCAGGATGGGATTTAATGAGCTCTGTTTCCTGCTCACGTACGGCAATTTTGTTTCATTGCCTGGAGACCAAGAAAGAATTCCGAGGGCTGCAGGGCCTCACAGAGGAGTCGGAGGCATTCTCTCGTAGGCCTCCTAAGCCCACCGTATACCAATAGCTGCCCACCTGCCCTCCACTCCTCAAGTCCATGGTCTTCAATACCTCCTCTCAGAGGTAGGGGTGGCCGCCCTTTTTATATAGGACAAAAATGAGTCCTGGAGAGGCTGTGTGACTTTTCAGAGCCACGTGGCCATCAGATGACAGACCAGGATCTGTGTCTGGGCCTGCTTCCACACCTCCTCCCCACAGCTGGACTTAAGGGTGGAGAAGCAGCTGTGTGTTCAGGTGGTCAGGGGTGGAATAATGGGCCTGTGCACATCAGGCCCACAAGTCAGAGGCCTAAAGGGACGCCTCCTTGGACTACAGAGTGCCTTTTGGGAACAAACCCTGGATGAGAAGCAATGTACACAGTAGCCCTCTCAGCCCTGCCAGAGTTTGCCCATCCGAGGAGGCTCTGCCCTCAGGACCCTCCCCTGGCCTCCTGTGGCTTCATCTACGTGAGCCTGGATTGTTGCTGGTACACTAGACAGCTTCTGAGAAATGTCAGGAAGGTGACTTGCTTCTTTTTTAAAATCCAAGCTCTTAAAAATACTAAGTGGAAAACACGGGCAGAATGGTGTGTATGATACATGACCCGTATAATAAAAGGAGAGGAGAAGCATTTGTGTTCCCTTTTACTTGTAAGTTGCATGAATAGACTCTGGAATAATCTATGAACCTATTGAAAGTCGCATTCTTGGGGTGAGGAGGTGAGGATGGGGAGTGACTAATGGCTTTGGGGTTTCTTTTTGAGGTGGTGAAATGTTCCAGAATTAGGCAGTGGTGGTGGTTGCACAATCCTGAATATACTAAAAAGCACTGAATTGTACACTTTAAGATAGTGAGCTCTTTGGTAGATAAATCATATCCTATACGATATCTCAAGCCAGCTGTTTAAAAATTCCTCTGATAGTATTTCATTTGGCTTTGAGCTCTATCTGGATGTTTAGAAACTGATGAGTTCTGCTTGGTGCTTGACCTTCTCTCTGGAAGGAGAGGGATGGTCTCATCTGGAGGTGAAAGAAGAGCCCCAGCAACTGATGGGGGACTCTCAGGGGCATGCTTAAAGCTGTTCATGTCTAAAGGGTCTGTGAGCCAGGCAGGGAGATAAACAGGGAGGACTGTGGGGCTAGGGTGACCTGCCCGGCCTGGTGGGCTTCTGACGTGGTGTGTGTTAGTGGGTAAGAGATGACATCTGGAGTTAGCAGTCCTTTTGGTGGACTAGGAGGAAAAAGGGTGTTTTGCCCATTGGTATTTCAGGCTGGCCCCTTGAGGAGCCCCAGGAGCACTTGCCTCGTGTCCTCTGCTAGAAAGAGCTTACTTTGTGTTTGTGTAGGACTCAGCTTATCATCCAGAGATACGGTCCCACGGCTGGGGTAGGGCAGTGACCCTTGGTTGAGTTAGGAAGGGACCAGTGGCCAGTCCAAGGGGGACCACGTTGATATGCCCCAGGCCTCTTTGTTGGGCTTCTGAGATACCCTTTGAAAAGAAAGAAGAAAACCGTTGGTTTGATGTGCTGGCAAAATTTGGTCTTGAATGCTGGCCATGGGAATTGCTGAAGGAGGTCTTCTCTAAATATGGGCTTTTCTGCCAATGGTTATTTTTGGTTGTTTCAATTACAGTTGTGCTCTTTGCTGACTGCTGTAGTGTTGTATAAATACAGGGTGAATCACAACCAGGCCATGAATCCAGATCTGGGGTGGAATTGACACGCGGACAGCCCCTAGAACTGGGTTCTCTGCCCCAGAGTGTGACAGGCAGCCCAGGCTGGGCAACGCCTGCCCTGCTGCCTCTGACGGGCGCTATGTTTCCCATGTCCGCACTCACACCTGAGGTCACTCTTGTGTTCAGATGCCCCAGCAAGTCCACACCACCCTCATGAACATGGGGAAATGATAGGGATTGCACATGCCTGACCTCCCCACAAGGTCATCCCATGGGCTGGTTTCTCCCAAGTGCCTGTCACTTGCTCTACTAGCCATCCCAGACCAGGGCAACTGGCCAAGGAGCTGCCCATCTCCTGAGACGCAAACCCATGAGAGGCTGTGTGAACTCTGCCCTGCATCTGTGTAGGAAATTAGGGGCCCATGTTTCCTCTTTTTCCTTCATCTTAAAAACTCAAGAGCAATAGGCGGGGAAATGGAGAGACCCTTCCTCTTGTCAACTGGGCATCTGAAGAGGGCTGCAGTGGTTGTGCTGGCCCAGTCAGGTTCAGGTACCTGCACAGGTTAGTGGGCTGCAAAGCAGCAGGGGTCTCTTTCTGTTGTTCATTACTAGAGGGTCCTGCCAGGTTTGGGGCCATCAGAAGTTCTGCTGCCCGGGACAGGAATTGCAAATGGAAGGGACCCCGAGGAGGTGCCCAGGACCATCTGTGCTCCTCAAGAAAGTGTTGTTGTTGGAAGAGACACCAGCACTGGAATCCAAGTCTCTGTTCCCCAAGACACCCATGTAAGTTCACTCTTTGAATCTGAGTCCCTAATGCAGACAGTGAGATAAGGCCACCTCCAGGGCCTTAGGAGTCGTCAGGGTGGGGCCCCGAGAAGGGTCACATAATTAAACAAAGTAGTATCTAATTAAACTGTAGCAGATACTGAGGAGGGATAGAAATACTGTAAAATGAGAGGGATATTACTGTGTCCAAGGCATCTCACTTCTAACATTGAGTACAGTCGTGCAACACATAACATTTTCATCAGTGACCACCACATAGGCAGTAGTTGTCCCATGAGATTTTATTTTTACTGCACAGTCTATGTTTAGAAGTATTTAGATACACGGATAGCCACCGTTGTGTCACAGTTCCTAGTATATTCAGCACAGTAACACATTGTGTGGGTGTGTTGTCGCAAAGCAATGGGCTACTCCAGGTAGCTCTAGGATGTTTGTGTGACAACCAGTCGCCTGTTGATGCATTTCTCAGAACCTATGTGGCAATCTCTCAGAACTGTGCCTGACCTTGCAAAGCATCTTACAGGGCAGCAGTGGTCATCCATGGGCTGGGGTGAAGCCCACAAGTGAAGAAAGGTGCTGCTCCCACAGTAGGTGATGTGGGTACAGCATGGGAGAGCCAGAGGTGGACAGGGGGCCCATACACACCAAGAGGGAAGGGGCCGGAGTCTCCTCTGTTCCTCGTGACTCTTGCACAATGCCTGAGTTGTGGTGATTCACAACTAAATCTAACCGGAGCAGCCCAGCTGTACTGAGGGCTGCTTTGCGGATGCTGTGTGTCCCCCTTGCTGAAGCTCGCGTTGGTCACGTGTGTCCACAGTTGGTAGAATCCTTCCCACACATATGCCTCATGTCTAGCCTGAGGAACACAGCTCTGTCCACTCTGAAGCAAAATGTGAGAAACAGTTCAGCCCAGTGTTCCAAGAGTATTTCTTACTAGGAGGGAGTCTGCTGGGGAGAACCTGACAGTACCCACCCATGTGCACCATCCCCTCAGTCGTGCAAAGCAGGACACTGACCTTCCAGGGCCAGAGAACAAGTTGAAGCAGGCAGCCCCATGTCCTTGGGAGCAGCCCCACTGGCATCAGGCCGTTAGAGTAACTCTTAGTGGATTCTTCCTTGATTTTATTATTATTTTTTCACTACAATTCTCACACGCATCTTCCTTGATTTCTTAAGGTGATTCTGAAGATCAGAAAAGATGACAAAATACTGGTTAGCATGCAGATTTGAGGAGCAGAGGGTAAAATTTTATGTTACTTTTAAAACTGGAGGAACAGCAGCTACAGACAAAATGCTGATTAGCACTTGGCTGCATATCACATGTGATCATGTGTACCCCTCAATTATCACATCAACTGAGAGCTGCAGCTATGTGTGTGTGTGCACAGATGTGTGTGTGTACATCCTTGGGGGTGTGTGCAAGGGCTGTGTGTGCGTGCATGTGTGAGGGTGCAGCATGTGAGGGTGTATGCATGTGTGAGGGTGCGTGAGCATGTATGAGTTTATGCATGAGGGTGTATGCATGTGTAAGGTGCATGTGTAAGGGTATATGTGTGAGGGTGTATTCATGTGAAGTGTGAGCACATGTGAGGGTGTGTGTGTGAGGATGCCTGTGTGTGAGGGTGTATGCGTGTGAGGGTGTATGTGAGGGTGTATGAGCATGTGTTGAGGTGTATGCATGTGTAAGGGTGCAAGCATGTGTGAGGGTGTGTGAGCGTGTGTGAGGGCATGTGAGCGTGAGTGTATGCAAGCATATGTGAGGGTACATGCATGTGTGGATGCATATGTGTATGAGGAGTGTGTATGAGTGCTTAATACATGTGAGGGTACATGCTTGTGTGAGGATGCATGTGTGTGATGGTGTATTCATGTGAAGTGTGAGCACATGTGAGGGTGTGAGGATGTATGCATGTGTGAGTGTGCAAGCATGTGTGAGGGTGTATGTGTGTGAGGATGCTTGTGTGTGAGGGTGAATGCACGTGTGAGGGTGTATGTGTGTATGAGGATGCTTGTGTGTGAGGGTGCATGCATGTGAGGGTGTATGAGCATGTGTTGAGGTGTATGCATGTGTAAGGGTGCAAGCATGTGTGAGCGTGTGTGAGGGCATGTGAGCGTGAGTGTATGCAAGCATATGTGAGGGTACATGCATGTGTGGATGCATACGTGTATAAGGAGTGTGTATGAGTGCTTAATACACGTGAGGATACATGCTTGTGTGAGGGTGCATGTGTGTGAGGGTGCTTGTGTTTGGGGATATGTGGGGGTGCATATGTGAGGGTGTATGTGAGAGTGCATGCACATGCATGGGTTTATGTGAGGGTGTGCGAGCATGTGTGAGGGTGTAAGCATGTGTGAGGGTGTGAGCATGTGTGTGTGTGTGGCTGCATGAGTGTGAGGGTGTGCAGGCATGTGTGAGGTTGTGTGTGTGTGTATGGGTGCATGTGTGTGATGGTGCATGCATATGTGAGAGTGCATGCATGTGGGGTGCATGCGTGTGTAGGGGTGTATGCGTGTGGGAGGGTGGGTGTGTGTGTGATAGTGCATATGTGTGTGAGGGTGTGAACATGTGTGTGTCCCTTGTGTTCCAGGGCTGCTGGTCATGTGCCTGGAATAATTTCGTCTAGATTGTATGACATTCAGGTGATGTTGGCTCCAAATTTAACTAGAAAGGAAAGACAACAAAAGTTAATTTCATTCATACTAATTTTTAAATTACTTCTTAATACATTAAAGCTTAGGCAGGTATGATGGTGCATGCCTATAGTCCCAACTACTCAGGAGGCTGAGGCAGGAAGTTGGCTTGAGCCCAGGAGTTCACATCTAGCCTGGGCAACAGAGTAAGACTTTGCCTCTTAAAAAAAAAAATTAAATCACCTTCTGAAGATATGTGAGAGACCCTGTGAGTGTGCCACCTGTATGCTTGAGGGAATGATCCACTCCTCCCAGCAGGGCACATCACACTTACCAGATTCCCACTATCCAAAGTCAGCGTGTGCAGTATTGTACTGGAAAATACCCAGGCTGAGAACCTAGAGAGTACAGGATGTTTCGGTTAGTTGTAGACTGCATGATTTTCTAACATCTCAGAAAGAGCAGTTACCCTTGAGTGGCATGACTGCAGCCCAAGGCAAACCCTGGAGGATAAAGGGGTTGCCTCGCACAGCTGCGGGGTTAGGCACTGTCTGAGCTCAACCCCATCCTCAGCGCACTGCTGGTTCCCACTGGGAGTCTATCGCCACAGTCAAGCTGAGAAAGTGTCCCTGGGGATAAGCCTGGCAGAGTCATCTGGTTTTGTTTATGTTCCCACCAGTGCTTTCACCTCCTTCCGGTGCTCCAGCAGACAGGTTGTTGTCTCATTAGATCTTGATGTGACTTAGATGCGTCTCCTGAGCTGTTCGGTGGCAGTCGGGGCAGAGCCGCTGCCCCTTAGACGTGTCTCCATGTGGAAGGAGGCCTCATGTCCACAGCCATGCAGGACGGGGAAGCAGAGTCAGGTGGTCGGCAGGCTGAGTGGACGCTTGAGAGCAGGCAGTGGTGGAGGCTTAGGCCTGAAGACTGCGGCTCTCAGAGCTGCCAGGATGACAGAACTTTCCTAAAACCGTGGATTTCGAGGGACCAGAAAACTGATCTCTTTACTGATAGTCCAGACTTGAGTCAGTCCTGAATGTGCTCCCTTAATTTCTCCTGCTTTGTGTTCATCTTAGTTGCTATCTGATGAAGGTGCCGTCAGAGTTACTGAAACAACTTTGGCAAATCACCGAGGGCACCTAGAAGCAAGGGCCTGTGCATTATAGTGCCCCACAGCTGTGGTGATTTGCTGGCTCTTCCTGTCACTCTTCCTTCTGTCTTGCCACGGGCTGAAAATACAGGCAGACGGGTTGGGGTTCATCCTCCAAGTACTGCTCCGTCGCTCTGCAAAGCCGTGAAGTACTGCACAGAAGCCAGGGCAGAAGTGTCTGGGATGACTGAAAGCTCCATGTTTGTGACAAAAATGGAAGCAACCCAAAGTTGTCAGAAGAAAAAAGAACAAAAATGTCTGGCCACTGTGTTGAGAAATATATCATAAGTCAGTTCATCATGGTTCATGACACCACCCCAGTGTCTGCATGCTGCACAGGCTTCCCAGCCACACTCTCCGGCCGCTGTCCCCACTGCGGTTCGGACCAGCCCGTGCAGCCATCGGTAGCCTCCTGGTGGCAACCTGTCCCCTGCACTGGCGAGGCCCTCATCCTGGGAAATGGTAAAAGGTGACCTGCTTAAAGAGCAGAATATATGAAGGCACCCAGGACATAGCAAGGGGCATGCTGGTAACTCCCCTTAGATGATATAGGAAAGGTAAACATTTCAGATCGTAATTCATTAATGTTGATTTTAGTCTAATTTGCTGAAGGAGTAGATTAAAAGCAGGGAAAAGGTTAGGCTCTCACAAATCTCTCATTCTTAGGAAGGCATTCAAGGTTGCAGCAACTAGGAGGGCAAGTTTGTGGGACTAGCAGTTAGGTTTCTGCAAAGCTGGAAGGAGCCATCTTATTCTTTAGCTCTATTGAGACATCATTCAGCATCCAGCCATTTAACTTGTCCAATCCAGTGTTTCTTAGTGTGTTCAGAGTTGTGCAGCCAATGCCATAGTCAGTTTTAGGGCATTTTCATCACCCCAAAGAGAAGTCTCTGTGCCTGTTAAGTGGTCGTTCCCCATCCCCCCAACCCCCAGCCCCGGGAACCTCTAACCTGCTTTCTGTCTCTCGATTTTCCTGTTCTGGAAATTTTGCATGAAAGGAATTATACAGTCCATGGTCTGTGTGCCTGGCTTCTCTCACTCAGCGTAAGTGAGTGGCTCACTCGGATGCTTTAGTGGCTCATCTGTGGTGTTATCTGTGTTATGGCTCATGTCATGGATCATTCATGTGGTGGCTCATTCGTGTCATGGATCATTTGTGTTGTCATCTGTGGTGTGGCTCATCCGTGTCATGGCCTGTTTCAGTGCCTGTCTCTTGCTTGTGGCCGAGTGAGACCCCACTGTATGGACAGACCACACTGTGTTCATCTGTTCATCAGTTGATGGACATTGGGGTTGTTTGCTCCTCTTGGCCACCATGAATGATGCCGCCGTGAATACTCGCGTATGACTCTGTGAGATCACGTGGATTCACTGCAGCCTGGCAGTTCCTCAGAGGCTCAAACATAGAGTTGCCATATGACCAGCGCCTAGGCTCAAAGGGATAAGAGCGGGCACCCTTGTCTTGTTCCTGACCTTAGTTGGAGGTGCCCAGTGTTTGGCATTGAGTGTGACCTTAGCTGTGGGTTTTCATAAACGCCCCTCGTCTGGTTGAAGCCCTGGTGTTTCTTGTTCACATCAGAGGCAAATGCATTGGGGTGGGCTCTTAATTTCCTCCAGTTTGGACAATAAAAAGGACCAAGGAAAACAGAACTCTGACTGCCCACATATGTGTAAAAAGAAAGTTTGTAGAAACAAGAGTGAAAGTGCTTTCAGCAGTGCGGTCGTCACTGCACACAGGACACTGGAATTATAATTTGGGGTTGTGTGTGTCCATGTGGTTTTGTTGTATGTCATGTGCTCTCAGCTCAGACAGAGACATCCAACTGACTTCTGACTTGGGGAATTTAAACTTTATACCACAGCTTTATTTAGAGGGTTTATTTATTGTGTTTTCCATTTGTTTTTATTTAAAAGTTGTATAGAAATTGTAGGGCTGTTTTTGATAGAGAAAAATCATTATGACGGGTTTTGCTAAACCCATATACCTTTGTGGTCTGGGGAGCGGTGGGTGCTGAAGCCAAACGAATGTCTGCAGAATGAACAAGGGGAGTCTCTCAGCTTCAGAGACTGATGAAGCAGGATGAAGCAGGCTAGGACTTGGAGAGAGGATGACCACACAGCACACAAGCTAGAGCTGTGCGTGCCACACGCAGGATCACGTGCTGAGCCATGGGGGACTCAGCGTGGGGCCATTAGAGCTCCGGGGCCTGCCCCACCCATTCTGACTGGCACTGCCCTCGGGAAACCATCTCTGCCTGAAACCCGTTAGAGCCAGGGAGATTTGTGTGGCTGTAAAGGATGCTGGTGGTTTTTTGTCTTTTGGTTGTTGCTTTAGAGCCGCTGGGAAGATCAGCGTACTTTTCCACTCCCTGTGTGTCGCTCTGCTCTTCTCCATGCTCATCTGCAGCTTGTTTTGCAAAGATCTCCCCTTCGGCTTTATCTCCCTTCTCCAGTCGCAGCCCATGTTCTAATGTGGAGACTGCAAATGAGATTCAGGCCTTTGAACAGCCTGACTCTGTAGGAACCGCCTTCCAACCTGCTGGAAACGGGCATGTGAGGCCAGGGTTCTTACCCTCAGCACGGCTGACCTATGGGCTGGACATTTCCCTCCTGGGGCATCTGCAAATGGAGAGCTGTTTATCGGTGCTCCTGACCTCTGTCATCTAGATACCAGGAGCGTCCCCCAACTTGTGACAACTAGAATGTCTCCAGACATTGACCACGTCACTGGGAGCAGAACCATGGGGCTGAGTTGTGGCTGTCCCTGTGGTGGGTTGTCTGTTGTGATGAGGAACGGCTGGACCTGCAGGTGGATGTCTGGCCCCCCACAAAGCTTGTACAAGGGGGGACCCAGGAGCATATGGTGCCTATGCCAAGCTCACTGGCGGGAACTGTGGTCAGACTTACTTCCTCCAGGGAATGGCGAGCAGCCCTGCCATTCACCACTAAAGTGCCACAGAGACAGTTAAGCTTGAGAATGTGATTGGCATTCTGAAAACACCCAGGGGCTGCAGTGTGCCCCAGCTGGCAGAGAGCGAGGACCCCTGGCACTGGCTCGGTTGGTCCTGGGAGGGCCCCCATGAGACCTGAAGGTTATACACCATGGAGCAGAGCCTCCTCCAGTGCAATGTGGAGCCTCTGTGAGCATGGTGCCGCATTCCCAGGTGCTGCTGGCTGTGCCCCTCCCAACTGCGTGTCCTTGCCTGCCAGCCCCAGCTGTCGCTGCCCACGCCCTGCCTGGCTCTCCTGTCAGGAACTTCCCAAGCAGAGACCTCAGGTAGCAGGCACTCCTTGCCCCTTCTGCCACTTGGGCTGCTGAGAGTATATCACCAGGAGTGAGCTCAGGCCCTGGTTTGCCCAGCCAGGCCTCTGTGCCACTTTTCCACAGGACATTTAGCTTCCCCTTTCCTGTCCTCTCTGCAGACCACTGAATTTTCATTCCGAGGCACAGTGGGGCACTCCCATCAGGCTCTGCCTCCCTTGACAGAGGTGAGACCAGCTACAGCGTAGCTCCTGGCAGCCGGGAGCCCCTCTGAGATGAGTCAGGCGGCTTCGTGTGGCTTCGGTTCTTTGACCATTGTATTCCTAACCAAAACATAAACTTTAGGATCACTTTGGATTTTGCGTTACCCAAACCATTTGCTTTTGATGATAATGGTGTCTCGGCAGAGTTCTCGCTCTTGGACTTGGTGTGGAGGTGGTGACTGCCATGCATGCAACCCATGGCGTGGGGATCTGCCACTGTGCTCATCAACTGAGGAGGAGTTGAAGTTGCTGTCCAGAAGGCACAGGCAGTGGCCAGGGACGGTAGCAAGGCCACACCATTGTGGAACCCATGCTCCCAATAGCTTACCTGCACCTCTCCTCTTGGTTCTGCATGTCTTTGCATGGAACAGCTGATTTCACGTGGGTCCAGGCCCGTAGGGGACCCTGAAGCAAGCCTCCTGGGTGCGGGGAGGCACTGGCATGTGACGGACATCCATCGGCCGTCTGTGGTGGATTTGGGGGCCAGTGGCCTGTTAAAGGCAGGACACGCCCTGGCACAGGAGCAGACGTGGGCGGGAGGGCATGTTGCTGCAGTCTGGGGCATGCCAGCCCAGCTGCCAGAGATGAGCTCATCCTCCCTGGGCCTTGCTGAGTGTCTGAGGCCTCTTCACCGAGGCTCACCTGGGTGACTTCAGCGCCAGGGGATTACCAAGGGAAAATGTTCCCCTCTAGTCTGAAAAAAAAAAAAAAACGGACTGCAGCCAGCCCTCAGGCCCTTCCTGTGAAGGCACCGTGGGCCACACCATGTGAGCTTGGCTGTGGGTACTGGGCCAGCCTCTGGTGCTCACCAGCTGGTGCGTTGGGAGGTCTCAGGAGTGGGCAGTGAGTTCCCATTGGCGCTTTGTGACAAGCTCCTTCTCTTCTTGGTCTCTGAAAAGCATTGCATGAAATGGGAAATTGTCGGTGGCAGTTAGTGCTCTCCCTGGGCTCTGGCGTGTTCTTCTCTGTCTCCCTGCAGGACGCCACCCACCTGATAGGCTCTTCTGCCTGTCTCCTGCTCTTCCTTTCTCACTCCCTCCCTGGAATAGGAGCCACTGACTTGAAACCTTCATGCTGTTTTGGATTGACCTGTTCCTATACCTGGGAGGAAGTGATGGGGCAGGGCTAAGAGAGGCGACCTTGCCATGCTGTCGGCATGTGTCTGTCTGCACAGATTTGCGGACGTCTGTTTTCTGCCTTGTGTGTTCTGTAGATAAAGACACCTGTGCAATGTGAAGGTAGCACTCCTTCCTACTCTGTGAGCTCCACTCTCCCATCCTAGCAGGAAACATCTGGGGCAAGAGCCAGCATTGCTAGGGAGTCTGGGGGCTGGGACATGGTTTTACCGAAGTGCTATGTTTGGAGGCATTCGTAAAGCAAAAATGACCAAAAAGCCAGACTGGACACTGGAAATGGGCTTGAAGGAGGATGGCTGCAAGCTGGGATTCTTCGGGGATGCTCCTCTCTGTGGGTTCTCAGCATGCAGGCACAGAAGGCTGGAGGATTCTGCCTTTCCTGAGGGAAGACACTGTTGGAAGGGCAGGTGCAGCCAGGAGCAGGAGTCGCCAGTGAAGGAATGGGGCCCCCTCAGCCCAGCAACCACAGACACTGAGCACTGGAGGAGTCTGGCTGGAAGGCACAAGTTTACAAAGCCTGGGCCAGAGGTATCTCCTTGAGGAGTCAGACCTGTTCTCCTTCTAGGGTGCAACACTGAACCTACTGGGAGCAGGTGTTTGAGATGTTTATAGAGATCACTGCAGCTTTTCCAATGATATCTCCACTGGGACAGACATTGGGATGCAATGCAGGTCTCCCCATCTCACCTGTACTGTCTCGTGTGGTGAGTGGATCTTAGGAGCAAAACACAGCTGTATCTGGAAGAATCAAGCACAGAAAGAAAGCTTCTTGTCTAAGGCAATATGTGGTCTTTCTGGATCACAATTATTCCATACCTCTGTGTGTGTGTGTGCATGCACACGCACACACGTGCTTCCCATTTAGAATATGATTATCTTGTGCAGGTGTGTGTGCATGCACTTCCCATTCGGACTGCGATTTATTTCATGCATGTGTGGTGGGCATGTGTGCACATCCACATGTGTACATGTGTGTGCTTCCCATCTGGGCTGCCGATTTATCCATGCATGTGTGTGCATGCACTTCCCATTTGTACTGCCATTTATCCCATGTGTTCATGCATGTGTGTGCATGTACACATGTCTGTGTGTGTATATCTGTGTGCTTCCCATTTTGGCTATTTATCCTGTGTGTGTGCACATGTGTGTGTGTGCTTCCCATTTGTATGTGTGCTTACCACTTGGACTGTGATTTATCCCGTGTGTGTGCTTCCAATTTGGACTGATTTATCCTGTTTGTGTGTGTCTGTGTGTGTGTATATCTGTGTGTGCTTCCCATTTGGGCTGTGGTTTACCCTGTGTATGTGTGTGTGTCTGTGTGTGTGTGTCTATCTGTGTGTGCTTCCCATTTGGGCTGTGATTTACCCTGTGTATGTGTGTGTGTCTGTGTGTGTCTATCTGTGTGTGCTTCCCATTTGGGCTGTGATTTACCCTGTGTATGTGTGTATGTCTGTATGTGTGTGTCTATCTGTGTGTGCTTCCCATTTGGGCTGTGATTTACCCTGTGTATGTGTGTGTGTCTGTGTGTGTGTGCGTACCTGTGTGTGCTTCCCATTTGGGCTGTGATTTACCCTGTGTATGTGTGTGTGTCTGTGTGTGTGTGCGTACCTGTGTGTGCTTCCCATTTGGGCTGTGATCTACCCTCTGTATGTGTGTGTGTCTGTGTGTGTGTGTCTATCTGTGTGTGCTTCCCATTTGGGCTGTGATTTACCCTGTGTATGTGTGTGTGTCTGTATGTGTGTGTCTATCTGTGTGTGCTTCCCATTTGGGCTGTGATTTACCCTGTGTCTGTGTGTGTGTGTCTGTGTGTGCTTCCCATTTGGGCTGTGATTTACCCTGTGTATGTGTGTGTGTCTGTGTGTGTGTGTACCTGTGTGTGCTTCCCATTTGGGCTGTGATTTACCCTGTGTATGTGTGTGTGTCTGTGTGTGTGTGCGTACCTGTGTGTGCTTCCCATTTGGGCTGTGATTTACCCTGTGTATGTGTGTGTGTCTGTGTGTGTGTGCGTACCTGTGTGTGCTTCCCATTTGGGCTGTGATTTACCCTGTGTATGTGTGTGTGTCTGTGTGTGTGTGCGTACCTGTGTGTGCTTCCCATTTGGGCTGTGATTTACCCTGTGTATGTGTGTGTGTCTGTGTGTGTGTGTCTATCTGTGTGTGCTTCCCATTTGGGCTGTGATTTACCCTGTGTATGTGTGTGTGTCTGTATGTGTGTGTCTATCTGTGTGTGCTTCCCATTTGGGCTGTGATTTACCCTGTGTATGTGTGTGTGTCTGTGTGTGTGTGCGTACCTGTGTGTGCTTCCCATTTGGGCTGTGATTTACCCTGTGTATGTGTGTGTGTCTGTGTGTGTGTGTCTATCTGTGTGTGCTTCCCATTTGGGCTGTGATTTACCCTGTGTATGTGTGTGTGTCTGTGTGTGTGTCTATCTGTGTGTGCTTCCCATTTGGGCTGTGATTTATCCCATGTGTGCGCATTTATGTGCATGTGTGTGCTTCCCATTTGGACTGATTTATCCCATGTGTGTGTTTGCATGCATGTGTGTCTGCTTCCCATTTCAACTGTGATTATCCTGTGTTTGTGTGAGTGTGTGTTTGTGTGTATATCTCTGTGTGTGCTTCCCATTTGGGCCATGTATCCCATGTGTATGTGTTTCCCATTTGGGCTGTGGGGTGTGTGTGTGTGTGTGTGTGTGCATGCACGTGTCTTTGCATATGTGTTTGCTTCCCATTTGAACTGATTTATTCTGTGTGTGTGTGTGTTTGTGTGTATATCTCTATGTGCTTCCCATTTGGGCTATCCCGTGTGTGTGTGTGTGTATGTGTGCGTGTACTTGTGCGTGTGCTTTCCATTTGAACTGTGATTTATCTTGTGTTTGTGTGTATATATGTATGTGTGCTTCCCATTTGGGATGTGATTTATCACGTGGGTGTGTGCTAACGCATGTGTGTGTATTTCCCATTTGGATTGCGATTTATCGTGTGTGTGTGTGTGTGTATCTCTGTGTGTGCTTCCCATTTGGACTGTGACTTATCCCATGCGGGGGTGTGTGCACACGTGTGCACACACCCCACGTGGACTGCAATTTATTGTGTGTGTGTGTGTGTGTGTGTGTATCTGTGTGTGCTTCCCATTTGGACTGACTTATCCCATGCGGGGGTGTGTGCACACGTGTGCACACACCCCACGTGGACTGCAATTTATTGTGTGTGTGTATGTGTGTGTCCTGTTTGTTTTTTAAGGATCGTGAAGAGCTGTTTACATAGATCATGTTTTGCCTGTGATGGCTGCAGTACCAGCGGGGAGCATTTTTCCACTTTAGTGAGCTGTTTGCCCTGTTGGGAGCTTGGCCTTGGCTGCACAGCAGGCAATGTGGGGGGAGGCTTTCTTTTTTTTTTGAGACGGAGTTTTGCTCTTGTTACCCAGGCTGGAGTGCAATGGCGCGATCTCAGCTCACCGCAACCTCCGCCTCCTGGGTTCAGGCAATTCTCCTGCCTCAGCCTCCCGAGTAGCTGGGATTACAGGCATGCACTACCGTGCGCAGCTAATTTTTTGTATTTTTAGTAGAGACGGGGTTTCTCCATGTTGACCAGGATGGTCTCGATTTCTTGACCCATGATCTACCCGCCTTGGCCTCCCAAAGTGCTGGGATTACAGGCGTGAGCCACCGTGCCCGGCCCGAGGCTTTCTTTAAGGCTGGTTTGTATTTTTATTCCTTCCCATTTTTCCCTTCCAGTTCCACAAAGAAGTCTTTGCCTCCACCCCCTTCCATAGCAAACTGCGGCCCTTCTCCCCACCCTGGCCAACATTAACTATCGCCTGCCTTTCTCTTGAGGCTGAGACCTGAGTGGAAGCTGAGACCCAGGACCAGCTGCTGTGTGGCGGCTCCAGGGCCTTCTTTCTGTTTTTAATTTTGAAGGGAGTAGGAATTATACACTGTAAGCTGGCACTTACTTGGACATTAGGTCTGGAGTTGAAATAAAGAGGTACTGGTTTTGAAAATTGTGTATATATTCTGAGTGTAAAGTAAAGGTGGGATGTGTCCATCAGGCTTTTCTTAGTGAGTTGAGTCCTTTCAGGTAGAGATACAAGGAAAAACTTGATGAGAAGCACATGTGCACACTTTAACCCTGATCGAGTTGTCTGCCCCAGTTCCTATTTTATAATATTATTCCCTCCTCTTTAACGTGCTTCTCTATACCACTGATACTTTCTGGGGAAAAAATGTGAATTTCTCTCTGTCTCAAGAAATATCAGTTGCCCCCTATCCCCACCTTTCTCTCTTCATCCTGGCTCTTAGAGCTCTCTCCTCCTCCACCTCTGGGTCACCACACCACAGACCCTCAGGGTACAGCCAGCCTCTTCTCCCTTTCGGAAGCCATCTCCTCCAGGAAGACCCTCAGGACTTGCCACCCTCCTACCAGCATGACATCCCAGCAGGGCACTCACCTCCAATGTGACTGGAACTGGTGGACATTTGGAGGTTTTGGATTTAGAGGTACCATCTGCAGAATCTCACAGAAACAAGCCTGAGAGTGTCCCTCAGAAAACACTAATGTAAAACACAGCAGTCCTGCATCTAGGAAGTGACCACCCTGGAGCTCAGCGGCGGGTCTGTATGGTTGTTCACTGTGGTGTTATTTTGTGATGGCGAACATTTGGCAAAAGCCCAAACACCTACCTGCTAGGGGCTGAATAGTTAGAGGCACGTCCCTGCAGTGGTGGAAGGAGGGATGTGCCCTGACAGAGAACGTGACTCAGATGTGCTCAGCAAGAGAACGGCTATAAAACAGTGTGTGTAGTGCGCAGAATCGTGTTACCCCGAAGTCCTAGCCCTCAGTATGACTGTATCTGGAGACAGGGTCTTTAGGAGGTGATGAAGGATAACTTAGATCATAAGGATGAAGCCCTGACCCAATCAGATTGTGTCATAAGCAGAGGAGTAGGCACCAGAGATCTCTGTCTCCCTGCCATGTGGGGATACAGGAAGAAGGCAGCTGTCTGCAAGCAAGGAAGAGAGCCCTCGCCAGAAACTGACCGTGCCAGACCCTGATCTTAGACTTTCCAGCCTTCAGAACTGTGGGAAGTAAATGTGTGTACTCTAAGCTATGCCATCTATGGTATTTTGTTATGGCAGCTGGAGCTAAGACACACATTGTGTTCATACTTAGCAACACAACGGTTATTAAAGTGTGCGTTTCCTATCTAGTGTGTGTAAGTTGCACTCAATAGTCTGGGGAAGTGTGTACTAGACTGTTAGGAAGAAGGATTATGGGAATTTTCTTTCTGCTTTGTTTAATCCATTTTCTCTAGTCTTCTGATCCCAGCATGTGGGAGAAGGCCTCACCTGTGTTGGGTGCTCTCCCTGAGCATTGGTTAGGAATGAAAGGACAAATGCATGAGAGATTGTGTCTGAGTTTTACAATGAACATTTTTTACTTTGGCAAAGGGGTGTGGGCTTTGGGAGATTATCCTCCTGCATCACCCAGTATAGGAGTCAGAGCACCTGGGTCCTGCTGTTACCCCTGAGTATAAATGAAATGTGGGCTGCATCCATCAGTCCTTTCTCAGTGTGTCGGGTTCCTCCAGGTGGACATAGTGGAAAACTTGATTAGAAGCACAGGCACGGTGGCTCATGCCTGCAATCCCAGCACTTTGGGAGGCTGAGATGAGAGGATACTTTGAGCCCAGGAGTGTCTGTCACCCTGCTGTCACCTACCAGCCTCCAGCCTCAGTTGCCCACTCTGTCAAAGGAAGTTCTCATTGGCCTCAAGGTATGGGACCAAGGAGGAAATGGGTGGAAAAGTTTTATGGAGCCTCTGGGACTTGCCTGAGGAGGTGGGAGCTCATCCCCCATTTCAGCCCTTGGTTTGTGGACCTGGTGGGATGCAGGGCCTGGAAAGAATAGGCTTGGCTTTGAACTTGCTGCAGTGCAGAAGGTGAGGGCTCTAGGCACAGCCTTGGGGTTTTACAGCAGCCCTGTGGGAGTGAGGGTGGTGCATCCCATTTTATAGATATTAACACCGGGCTCAGAACTGGTCCGGGCAGTAGATGGTGGCTCTGGGATTAGGCTAAGCTTCCCTAACTCTACAGACTGATTGCCTTTCCCTGCATCCTAAAGCCACAAAGCCAAGGAAATTTGGGCATTAGTGACCTGTTGTGACCTGGAAACTTCCCCAGGACTAACAACACAGTGGCTTCTGTGAGGCAATAGCCCTGTGCTTTCAAGGGGGCTTAGCAAACTCGCTGGGGAGCAGTTCCGCGGCCACCTCTAACTGAGGCACCATTACCTTTTGGCAGAGAAAAGTGTGTCTGAGTTTGCTTTATTTTTACTTTGAGGGGTTTTTAGGAAAGAGCCATTGTTTGAAGAAACTCATTTAACAGAAGAAAAGAAGAGCATCGGTGTTTGCCTTCTTCCCCTTTCTAGGTGGTGTCTCCCCAGCCTTTGCCCTTTTTTGGGTTTTTTTTTTGGTTTTTTTTTTAGACTGCAATGCAGTGGCTCAATCTCGGCTCACTGCAACCTCCACCTGCTGGATTCAAGCGATTCTCCTCCCTCAGCCTCCCGAGTAGCTGGGATCACAGGCGTGTGCCACCACACCCAGCTGATTCTTGCATTTTTAGTAGAGACGATGTCTCACGGTGTTAGCCAGGCTGCTCTCAAACTCCTGACTTCAAATGACCCACTCACTTCAGCCTCCCAAAGTGCCAAGTTTAGGCATGAGCCACCACGCGCAGCTGCTTTGCCCCTTTTCAAGCAGGCTGGGTTGGTGTCTGGCCATGACCCCTGCCCTTGTAGTTCTGAGTCTTGTCTTTGTCCTCCGTGACAAACTTTCCACAGCCCCAAACATGCTTCCTGGTGTGCCTCACATGCTCATGATGTTGGGAACCTGGTCACTAAACATGATAGTACTTAATTTCTTAAATTAGGACTTTCTACAGTGGGTAGTTGGTTCGTTCACTTTTATATCATGCTGGTCCCAGACAGCTTCTAATAGTGCCTGGGATTTAGGGCTCTCTTCTCCAAGGCCGATGGAAATGTTCTCATAAGCCCGGCCCCAAGCGTATGGTGACACACGTGTTTCTGGTTTTTCGTTTGCTTGTTTTTACCAGAGCAGCAGATCATGTTATTTGATGCTTTACTTAGAATGGCATAGGGATGTGACTTTGAATTAGGCAATGATTTCTTTTTTTATTTTTTTTGAGATGGAGTTTCGCTCTTGTTACCCAGGCTACAGTGCAATGGCACAATCTTGGCTCACTGCAACCTCCGCCTCCTGGGTTCAGGCAATTCTCCTGCCTCAGCCTCCAGAGTAGCTGGGATTACAGGCACGCACCACCATGCCCAGCTAATTTTTTGTATATTTAGTAGAGACGGGGTTTCACCATGTTGACCAGGATGGTCTCGATCTCTTGACTTCATGATCCACCCGCCTCAGCCTCCCAAAGTGCTGGGATTACAGGCGTGAGCCACCGCGCCCGGCCAATTTCTTAAATATAACACCAAAAGCACAAGCAAAAAAGAAAAATTAAGTAAGTTGGACTTCATCAAATTAAAACCTGTTGTATATCAATGAACACTATTGAGAAAATGAACAGAACCCCCTCACAAAATGGAAGAAAGCATTTGTAAGTCATGTTTCTTATAAGAGACTCGTATTCAGAATATGTAAAGAATATTCATGGCAATAGAAAAGACAGCCCAGCCAGGCATGGGGGCACAGGCCTGTAATCCCAGCATTTTGGGAGAGCAAGGCAGGCAGATCCACTTGAGGTCAGGAGTTTGAGACCAGCCTAGCCAACATGACAAAACCCAGTCACTACTAAAAATGCAAAAATTAGCCAGGTGTGGTGGTGGGCACCTGTAATCCCAGCCTCAGGAGGCTGAGGCACGAGAATGGCCTGAGTCTGAGAGGCAGAAGTTGCTGTGAGCCGAGATCACCTCACTGCATTCCGGCTTGGAAAACAGATCAAGACTGTATTTAAAAAAAACACGCACAACCCAATTGAAAATGGACAAAGGATCTGAATACACCTCTCTCCAAAACAGATATACAGGTGGCCGATAAGCACAGGAAAAGATGCTCATCACCATCAGTCATCGGGGAAATGCAAACCAAAACTACAGTGAGGCCCCACTTCACACCTACTGCAATGGCTGATAATGACAGACAAAAACAAGTGTTTTCAAGAATGTAGAGAAATCATAACCCTCAGACACTGCTAATGGGAATACAAAATGTTTCAACCGCTGTAGAGAACAGTCTGGCAGTTCCTCAAAAAGTTCGACATAGAGTTACCATATGACCCAGCAGTCTTACCCCTAGGTATATATCCAGCAGAAAGGAGAACATATGTCCACACAAAAACTTAGTTCTGCTGCTCTGCAAAGCCCAGACTAAACATCCAAACCATGCTGTCATTCTTCCCCCTTTATCAAATGTACATAACAGTGTACATAAATGCACATATCAAATGTTCACAATGGCCCAAAACTAGAAACAACCCAAATTTAATCAGTGGCTGAATAAATGTGGTATTCCAACACAGTGGAATACTGAGTTCCTTATACAAAGTGCATGAACCTTGAAAACATGGTGCCAAGTGAAAGAAAATCAGACACAGCCATGTGTTGTAAGATTCCACGTATTTGAAGTGTCCAGGACAGGAAAGTCCATCTAGACAGAAAGTAGATTAATGGTGTCAGGCTGGGGAGAGGAAGGCATTGGGAGGTACGGGGTTTCTTTTTAGGATAATGGAAATGTTCTGTCATTAGTGGTGATGGTTGGTTCCACTATATTGTGAATATACTAAAACTACTGAGTTGCACACTTTATGATGGTTAAAATGGTTAATTTTATGTTATATAAATTTTCTTTCAAATCTTTTTAAACAAAATGCGCAGGGAATGAGCATGGGCCAGTGATGTCAGCAACCGGGTGTCTGTTGCTGGACTGTTGTGGCGCTCCCTGCTGGCCCCACGTGAACTGGGGGAAGGTTTTTGTTGCAGAAAATTCCCAGGAGTGGAAACCCCCACCCAGTGTGACCTCCCAAAAGGCAGCACTGCCCAACCAGGAACGCCACAGGAGGAAGGCTTGGAGGGAGGGCAGTGGGCATGGCCAAGTCTTCTTTCCTGAGGTGATCCAAGCTTGCTGGGGAAGACACAGCAAATGTTGACTGCAGTAACCTAGGAGTGAGTTATGGCTTTGAGGATTTTTGAATTATTTTTACTTCCAGTTTTTCTGTAGTGAGTATAGATTACTTGGGGTGGTATTTTTAATAGAGAGAAATAATAGAGAACCAGGACCAACATGCAGTGTTTCTTAATACTTCTAATGAAAATTTAAACTCAATTCTGCTCATTCCGTTACTGTCTGTCTTCCTGGGTCAGGGTCAGGAGTATCCTCCTCTCCTTGCTGACAGCCTCTTGCTGGAGGAAGGTTGTTGGCAGAACATTCCAGAGGCAAGTACACAGATTGGACCTGGCTACACTCGAGTCCACTGTGTCCAGAAACAGGGCCCTAAAGTAAGTCAAGAATTATGCACCATAGGGTTCCTTTTTCCCATATTTGTGGAAAACAAAACATTGCTTAAAGTTACAGAAAACACTTCTTAGATGGAAACTAGGTCTTTGAATGTGTGGTGTTTTCATTGGTTGAGGCTGTCCTTTACTGCAAGGGCACAGAACCCACCTCGGCAGCGCGGTGTGTGGCGCTCAGACCCCGGCCTCTGGCATGCTGTCACCTCCCTCATCAACCTGGGCGCCCTTCATGACTGAGAGCCGACAGTCCTGGTCTTGGTGGGAAATGGATTTGCTCTGGCAGATGGGGGCAGACGGTGGTCTTGAGCTGTTCTGTGCTGGGAATCATGGCCAGGTGAGCCCGGAAGAATCCCCTGAGGATGCAGAACATGCCTGTGGAGATGCCACAAGGAGACAGGCCGTGGGGTTTCACGTTTTGAGGAAAAGATAAAACTACCAAAGAGTTCTGAGACTTCTTGTTAACACACAACGTGTTTTGTTTTTCACCTTACGTGGCAGACTTTTAAAATGTTAACATTTATGTTGTCTTTTAAAAATGAAGTCTTGTTCTGGCATGTGTTTTGACCCAGTAGTGTAGTTCTTCTGCAGTATTTTTTTGTATGTGTCTACATGTTGTTTAATTATGGGGAGGGAATTTGGTCTTAACCACCCATGGACAAGCTGGGACTAGACAAGGCCCTGACAGGCCATGCTGATCTGGCAGCTGAAGTCTCTGGCGTGGCGCGTCCTGATGGCGTCACTGAGAGACTGAGATGTGCTCTCCCCTAGGCTTCCTCCGTCCTTCCTTCCTTTCTTTATTATTTTAATTTCTTACCTTTTAAGCTGGCAGCCACTTTGCCCATGAGTAAGCGAGACCATGGTGTTTGGCCCGGGGTGGTTCGCCAGGTGACCATGGTGGCTCACAGCTGCTCCTCTCTTGAAATCAAGTGTGGCAGATGAGTGAGTACTTACTACTTCTCTCCATGGTGAGTTAAAACCAACTAACTGATCCTGCGTGGGAAAGAAAGAGACTATCTCTTAGTTTAGGTAATGAAAAGTTGAATCAGAAGCAGTGAAGTGAGTGGTTTGACAACAAGAACACTGAGAGCCAGGAGACTTGGGAAGATCAGGAACTGGGCTGGGAGTGGCTGTGAAAAGGATGTCCCAGAGCACCACGTGGCGCATCCCGATGTCGGAGGGCGTTGCCTGGGGCATCTATCTGTACGTGACGTCCGAGGACCGTGTGACACATCCCACATGTCAGAGGGAGCTGCGTGACACGTACCCGTGTGATATCTGAGAGCACCGCGCTACATCCCTGCATATCGTAGGGCGCTGCCTGAGACATCCCAGTGTGATAGAGGACTCTGCGTGATGTGTTTGTAGATGATATTGGAGGCCACTGGGGATCCCACCTTGAGCCCCCTGGGCCTGGGGGCCTTCCCAACAGAGGTATGGCTGGGTGGTAGAGACTAGATGAGCTTCATCCCTGCTGTGGCCTCAGGGTGAGAGGCCAGTGGGCCCCAGTGGGTGGCTGAAGGCAGTGTCCCATGGACCACACCTGGCCTGGGGCTCAGAGGATGGCTGCGCCGGCACCTACTCCCCTTTTCCACCTGTGGAGGTCTCACCTGCCCTGGGGTTCATGCTCCCACTGTTGTCTTTGCCTGCCTTCCCTGCACCCCTGCATGGGAACCTCCTCCATCCTCTCCAGTAGCCCTGCATGAGCCTTCCTCTCAGGTCAGGGCCTAAGCAAGTGCTCATCCCAGTCAGATGGAAGAGGACCCCTGGCCCCTTGCCTCTCCCCACCCTGATGTAGGGACTTTCAGGCCAGAAGGCTGGGGTGCTCTGGGTTCCTGCAGGGTCTGAGAGCAAGCTGTAAGCGTGTGCCTTTAGGTGCTTCTTTTCCACATCAGCATGTTTTGTGACACAGAACAGTGAGTAGATTGGACTGTCACTTGTAAGCCATTTTTTTGGTTGTAACATTCCTATACCAGCTAACTGAAAAGAGAAAAGTATTCAGCTAGTCTACCTATTAAAACTAAAATTTTTCAACCTTTCATTGGGAAGTCTTAGACAACTGCAGGTATATGATTTTTTCTCACCTCCATGAATCTGCTAAAACTTCTTCCCAGAGGGAACCATCTGCCAACTTGAATTTATTTGCCCATTCTAGCTTGGTCCCTAGCCATTTATTCTTGTAAAAAAGACAAGCATGAAGCTCGTTAGCAGAGGCCCCTGCAGTCCTGAGTTGGGGGCAGAGGCCCTGGCTGGGCTGGAATGAACAGCTGGTCGGCTGCTGCCTCCCATGTTTTCATGCTTGTGTTTGGAATAACTTGAGTCTGCTGGACTTTCTTGGTTGTGTTTTTCAAGAGCATGTTCCCTGCTAGAAAGCTCCCACCTGTGTTAGGGACAACAAAGTCTGCATCACTGGCACAGGCCATGCGTCCATCTGTCAGCCTCCAGTTGTGTTCATTTGTAGCACTACCCACCCATGTGGCTGGCCCCGAGTATCCTCAGCGTGGGTCTCTGTAATGCTGTATACCAGCTGGTCTGACCCACTGCTAGTTAGGACAACACTAGCAGCTGAACAGATAATCTCCAAATGCAAGTTTGTTTTTTTCTCATATGGAATCCAAAATGAGTCTTCCAGAACCATGAGGGCCCCTTTCTTAGAGAGAATGTGGGCTCAAACTCTGCCTATCATTCATATTTCTTCAGCACTCAGGAGACTGGACATGATGAGTTCACCAGGCATGGGAGAAATAGAATGAAAGGGTTTGGGGAGCAGAAAACAGCCCCTGCTTTGCCCACATTGGTGCTGGGGCTGGGGGCAGTGCCCCGGAAGGCTCTGGAGGGCCTGACACCTCCCCAGTCACTTAGAAACAGCTTGTCCAAATGGGCAGGAGCTCCAGTGAGTCCTGGACAGTGGTCTCTGATGGTTCTGGATGTCTCATTGTCTGATGCAGCTTAGGATCCCAGGGTGGCAGAGGACAAGGTTGACAAGGGGATTCTGTACTGGGGTATTGGTGCCAAGTAGTAGTAGTGTCCTCAGCAGCTCTGATGAGCTGCTGGACACCTGGCTGGGCAATTTCACAGGGCAGGGCACAAGGTAGCACCAATAAGCCAGCTTCTCTGGGGCCTTCCATCTGTAGCTGTGAGATGCTGCGGCAGTTTGAGAGGGACTCTTGATGCACATTGTGCTCCTTCTCCAGGAATGGCTAATGGAAAACAGAAAGGGGCCTTTGGCCAAGAGCTGCCAGTCATTTACCTGCACACCACGCAAGCCCTCAGGCATGCAGAGCTGCCTTCCTGAGTGACCGGAGCATGAAGGGGATGCTTTCCTGTTTCTCTCCCTTCCCCAGAGTGGAGTTGGACAGGCTCCATCCAGGACAAGAATCCTGGAAACCTTTGGAAGTGGCATCTTTTTTTTTTTTTCTTTTTTACTTTATTAACTGATTTAGGTAGATATTTTGGTCTTTGGCTGCATGAAGCTACAAAATTTACCTCTATTTATTTACTTTTTATATATTTTATTGCACTTTGGTTGTGGGGTACATGTGCAGAACATGCAGCATTGTTGCACAGGTACATACAGGGCAATGTGGTTTGTTGCCTCCATCCCCATCACCTACATCTGGCATTTCTCCCCATGTTATCCCTCCCTAACCTCCCCACCCCCTGCTGTCCCTCCCCTAGTCCCCCTCAACAGACCCCAGTGTGTGATGCTCCCCTCCCTATGTCCATGTGTTCTCATTGTTCAACACCCACCTATGAGTGAGAACATGTGGTATTTGATTTTCTGTTCTTGTGTCAGTTTGCTGAGAATGATGGTTTCCAGATTCACCTATATCCCTACAAAGGACACAAACTCATCATTTTTTATGGCTGCATAGTATTCCATGATGTATATGTGCCACATTTACCTTGTCCAGTCTATCATTGATGGACATTTGGGTTGGTTCCAGGTCTTTGCTGTTGTAAACAGTGCCACAGTGAACATAGGTGTGCATGTGTCTTTATAATAGAATGATTTATAATCCTTGAATATATACCCAGTAATGGGATTGCTGGGTCAAATGGAATTTCTATTTCGAGGTCCTTGAGGAATCGCCGCACTGTCTTCCACAATGGTTGAACTAATTTGCATTCCCACCAACAGTGTAAAAGTCTTTCTTTTTCTCCACATCCTCTCCAGCATCTGTTGTCTTCTGATTTTTTAATGATCGCCATTCTAACTGTCGTGAGATGGTATCTTAATGTGGTTTGCATTTGCATCTCTCTAATGACCAGTGATGATGAGCATTTTTTCATGTTTGTTGGCCTCATATATGTCTTCTTTTGAAAAGTGTCTGTTCATAGCTTTTGCCCACTTTTGAATGGGTTTGTTTGTTTTGTTTTTGTAAATCTGTTTTAGTTCTTTGTAGATTCTGGATATTAGCCCTTTGTCAGATGGGTAGATTGCAAAAATGTTTTCCCATTCTGTTGGTTGCCAGTTCACTCTAATGATTGTTTCTTTTGCTGTGCAGAAGCTGTGGAGCTTAATTAGATCCCATTTGTCTATTTTGGCTTTTGTTGCCAATGCTTTTGGTGTTTTAGTCATGAAGTCCTTGCCTACTCCTATGTCCTGAATGGTTTTGCCTAGGTTTTCTTCTAGGGTTTTTATGGTGTCAGGTCTTATGTTTAAGTCTTTAATCCATCTGGAGTTAATTTTAGTGTAAGGTGTCAGGAAGGGGTCCAGTTTCTGCTTTCTACACATGGCTAGCCAGTTTTCCCAACACCATTTATCAAACAGGGAATCCTTTCCCCATTGCTTTTGTCAGATTTGTCAAAGATCAGATGGTTGTAGATGTGTGGCGTTGCCTCCGAGGCCTCTGTTCTGTTCCATTGGTCTACCCTTCCTCACTGGAGATTCAAGATAGTTTTAATTCAGGTCAAGCCCTTATGTGACAGAAGGGGTTGTTTGTAGGAAAATGTTCCCTAGAAAATCTTTACTTTGAAAATTTATAACCATGAAACCTTCATAGGACCAGACTTCAATTTCCCCTCTTGTTTCGGATACCTCAAAATAGAAATGGAAGAAGAAAATATAATTTAACTTGATGGCTAGGTGTGGTGGTGCATGTCTGTAATCCTAGCTACTCAGGAGGGTGAAGCATAGAATCACTTGAACCCAGTAGGTGGTGGCTGCAGTGAGCAGAGATTGTGCCACTGCACTCCAGCCTGGGTGACAAAGTGAGACTGTCTCCAAAAATATATATATACACACACACACACATATAATTTAATTTGACTGAAAACAGGATATGGGGAGACGGTGGTACAGTTGCCTAAAAATGTGACTCCTCAAATTGTTTACTTTGTGGAAAATAACAGATTTACCATATTTCTTGAAAAAGAAGCAGTGACAATTTTTTTCTTATAAAAAGGTATTTTAGAAATCAAAGTTGGAATTTTAGAAATGCAGTATTCTTTAAAACAAATTTTATTGCTAAGAAAGTTTGAAATTTTTCACTAATGAAGTCCATATGCGATGGTTTATATTTAAAGAGATGGAGAAATGGACTGTCGTCTGAAATTCAATCACCTCACCCCCATGCCAGGGTGAGCGGTCAGCTGCGGTATGAGCAGCTGCACACCGAGCGCTTCTCTTTCCTGCATCCTCGCTCTGCAGACAGGCAGAGGTGAGGTGTTCTCTCACCCCAGCCGCAGCTCTCACTGGAAGCAGTCAGGGTGGTTGGAGCCAAAGACACTCTGGGCCCTTGGATGCTGGGAAGGAGGTTCAGGGTACAGCCCATGGCCAGCCCATCTCTTCAAGAGTTCAGGAGGGACCAGAGTCGCTTGCTTACACTTGCTGGCCCTCCTCATTGCGGGGTGTCGGCCGGTTTCCTCCACTGCGCCGCTTGCTCCTCTGCCCCCTGCCTACAGATGTGTTCATCTTTCAGCTTACACAGCCATTTGACAGTGGCAGACATTCCTTACCTCATTAGCCTCCTGTTATTCAGAATTAGTTT